AAAATTGCAAATTGTTATGTGTTACCGTTGTCAAGTTATTGAACTTACACAATGCACTTCTCTTCAATGCTAACATCGGACATTAGTTGTAATGAAATGATTTTTCTAAATCTTTTAATACGTTTTAGTAACAATAATTTATTTTATAACAAAAAAAAACCGATATTGACTCAAAAGACAAAATGCATTCAATCGATATCTCGAAGAAAAACAATGGAAAAATATATTATCAATATTTATTGCTCAATAGGAATTGATTGTTGTTCAGAATCATCAGATTCAATATTTGAATCTTCTCTTGAAGAAATTAGACGAGAAAATGATAAACGTTCTTTATCAAAACGAAGTGCAAATCGACCAAGTTGTCCATCGAATCGATTTTTTGCAACCTAAAATTTTTTCAAATAATTATATTAAAAATAATCTTCATTGTTAATCTCTACTTGTAAATATTTAATATTTCCACCATTTGCTGTACCTAATTTTCGTTGTTGTATAATTAAAATATTATCAGATTCTTGTGATGCTTTTGCTGAACCGAAAATTGATGAAATTGTTAATCCATCATCTTCTTCCTTAAACAAAAAGAAAAAAAAATTTTTTTTTTCAATTTCTCTTCTATATTTCTATACTTTTCTTGGATGAATAACAATTGTCACATGACATTTATTATTTGTTGCAAATTTTCTAAAACGATGAATTAATGTATCTTGTTTAAAAAATCGATCATTATTTGAATAATCCATTCCCATCATAAATTGAAGATTATCAATAATAACATGTTGTATATTATGAATTGCAACTGCATTTCCCATTGTCTATTATTTATCAATAATAAATTTTATTTAACAAAACGAAGTTTTTTTTTTCCTTACATTAATCACTTTATCAATACTTTCTTGACCATGAAATGTCATAAAAAACATTGGTAAACGAGCAAATTGATCAGCAAATTTATCAAATACATCCATATGTTTAGATAAATTTAAACTTTTTAGAATAAATTGAAAAACAAAATTATCAATTATTATACATACCCGGAATACTGTGTTAACATTACTTTAGCAAGACGATGTGTTTGAATTTCAAAACTGCCGAATAGAGTTGATCGCTAATCATAAAATTTATTTAAAAATAATTTCAAGAAAGTCTTGTCTAAAACTCTTAAGTTTCGTAGCTAACCTACTCGTTTTTCATGAAAACGTTCATGCTTGAGCCTAAACTTTTATTCCATTGAGGGAAACTGAAACAAAAACTTCTCACAATGCTACGATGCAAAAAATCTTTGCCTCTTTTGTAATAATAAATATCTGATGTACAATTATATTGTACTATAAAATTTCGAAATATTTTTATTAGTAGCATAACTAGAAAAAAGTTGTAGAAAGAAAGCTCAGCTCCCAAATCATGTCGGTAGAGGGAACTGAGGTCCACTGGTAACACTTCTACTAGAGAACGTACACCCCACGATAATTTGTCCTGTAATGTAAAGATCTAATACATGAATTGAAAAGAGTATTGAACTATCGGATAAGATTTTTGTACTTTTGCGAATTACAAAAAATAATTCAAACAAAATCTATAGGCATCACACTAATAGCTATTTTTTTATATGTATACTAGAGAGAGCCCGTGCATATTGTATGGCTGTTTTCTCCTTTAACATAAGACCTTAGATGTTTAACTTTACATCCTGCAACAGATATACAGACACTCGATATTATGTATATAGATAGTTAGATGCCCCTACGGTCTCATAGTCTTATATCACACATATTTTTATAATCCATATAGCCTTATATCCCTTGTAACCTTATCCCCTATCGCCTTCCCCCTTTTTGTATTCCGCCTTAAAATTCTAGAATCTTTGACCTTTAACATTTGACTCGGTACAGAGAAACACATAGGCACACACACTGCGCATTATATATATAGATTTACCCCTTGGAGACATAAATCAAGTGAATATTCACTTAAAAATGTGGTTTTACCACAACCAGTTGATCCAGTAAGAACTGTTAATTCACCAGCTCGATGACCTTTAAGGATTTGTGTCAACATAGGAAATCTTTGCCACTAAAATAAAATGAAAATTTTTAATTTTTTTTTTGTTTTTGTTCGAAGATATATTTACTAACTTGTAATCCGGCAAAACGTGTTCTTTGAAGTAATTCATCACGTATTAAATCACGAAATGTATCAAATTGTTCAATACATTTATTAATCACTGCAAAACTTTCATTAATTATTGTTTTTATATTATGACTAGATTTAAATGCTGTATGTGCATCCATTGGATAACTTTAAAAGAATTCTTTTTTTTTTCAAATTTATCAATAATAGATATTTTTCTTACGTTATCATAAAACATCGATGTGGACTAAGTACATTAGCTAAACGAAAAGCAAGTGCTTTATCATTCCAATACCATATATGAATTTTACGTAGATGTTCAAATGTTATATTCATCTTAATTGTAAAGAAAATTGTAAATAGTAATGATTATTTTTTTAAAAAAAGTTTATTATACTCGAATAGAAAATTTTGCATTAGGAAGAGCAATTGCTACTTTACCACTTGCTTGATAAACACATAATGCATCCCATATTGAATCAACAAGAATTATTTCAGCATTTCGTGCTGAGAGAACATTCAAACCAAATGGTGCAGGAAGTTTTCTATTAATCAATATTAAACTTATTCAAATAGAAAAAATAAATAAATCTAAGAAAATTTTTACATTAGTTTAGTATCAGAATAAGATGTTGGATCAAGAATAACAATATTAACAAGTGATCGTTCAGTATCGTATAAGGGTGCAATCAGTTGATCTTGATAAAGTCGAATACCATATCGTTGAAGAGTTGTATTTGATACTGTATACTCCTTTAAAATCAGAAATATTTCATGAAGCTTTTTTTAAAAATTGTCGTAGACAGAAGTTTGCACAAGGGATCTCAAGATCGGTGGAGGTATAAGAATTTTGGTATTTTTAATGGGTAAATAATGAATCATTTTTAATTATTGGAAGATGTACAGGATAAGTAAAAATATTTTTTCAAAGAGGTAACGCTGTGATTTTAAATAGAGTCAATAATAAATTTTATATCAAATGAAAGCGCGTCAAAAATGGGATCTATTAGTATTAAATGGTAAGAGTTCTACAAAACTTTTTATATCAAACATAACAAATTTCTAGAAATTTTCGCAGTGTTACTTCTTAGAAAACCATCAATTTGAATCAAATTTAATTTTTAAACTGTCTTATGAAAGAACTTTTTTCATAATAAAATAGCGAAATTTGTCATGTTTGATATAAAAAGTTTTGTAGAATCCTTACCATTCAATACTAGTAAATCCCATTTTTGACGCGCTTTCATTTGGTATAAAAATTTTTATTGATTCTATTTAAAATCACAGCATTATCTACCCTGGAAAACTATTGTTATTCACTCTGCACATCGCCTTCACCAACTGATAAATCGCTTCTGAATCGAGACTATGTGCATTATGTAAACCTAAATAATGCTATGAATACTCTGAAAAGGATTCGTGCCCTTAGATTATTGCTACGGAAATACTGTACTTTTACGCTATTTCTTAAATAAATACCGCGATTTTATTGTGAAAGTTTCAGATCATCACCTTATTCCTATCCTAAGATACAGCTATAGTAATAGGATATGTTGTACATCGCTTATATAAAAACCAACAGATTTGATATTCTTATTTCAGGACAGCAGCAAATAAAAAGACTTAAAATTTTCACAGTAAATTGTTCTCGCTAAGACCTGTCCCTATATGTAAAGTTTCAAGTCGAAATTTGAAAATTAGTTTTTATGTTACCACAGCAGTCATTTCAAAAATCCCGTAAAAGTGCAATATCTCCGTAGCAATAAGCTATGGGCACGAATTCTTTTCAAAATATTCATAGCTCTTTTGGGTCTACATAATCTCGAATCGAAAACGATTTATCAGTTGAAGGACTTCCGTGTATAAAAATTTGATCTTTCTTGTATAAACAATTTTTGTATGTTTAGTAAAACTTAAATATATTTCTATTAAATAGATTTCAAAGTAATTTCACCTCAGTGAATCCATATCTTGATAAAATAGCATCTACAAGTTCTTTATCATTATCTTGAATCGTTTTTGATTGTTCCCAAATTTCACGTTCTTTATCACATAACAGAATTGATGGTGTATCCGCTTTAGGGCAATATTTTCTATGGAAAAAAGAAAAAATTAGATAAAACAAATTAAATAATATAAATGATAAAACCTTGATAGAAAATGTTGCCATTGATTTTTAAAATCTGACCAAGTACCATTTGTTGAACATTTCAAACAAGCAAAATCACCTATTAGAATAACAAAAAAAAAATATATATTAATAATTATCTATATTTTTGTTTTTCTCTTTCTTATTTTACCTCGTTCTTTTCCAATATGAATAACTCCTGATATTTTATTTGAACTACGACAACATAATGCTTTAATACATGTCCATGATTCATCAAATGGAATTGAATTTTGTCTTAAATATTCTTTTATTTTAATAGCTTGACCAACTAATGGTGGATTTGGATCAATTACTGTTCGTTGATTTGATAATGGATCATTAATTGAATTAAATGAATGAAATAATCGTGGAATATATGAGTTAATAAATAAATAATTACTTTTTGAACGAATAATCCAAGTTGAAAACATTGAAAGTGAAGAATTATTGTCAGTTGCTTTTTTTTTTAGTCGTTGGTCAGTCTACAGATAGAGGACGCTATAAATCATCGATGAATTTTGATTTATTAAAAAGAAAATTTTTTTTCTTAATTAAATTTTCGAAAAAGAACTTTTAATCTTTATTTGCTTTTTTTTCTTCATTTTCTTTTTTATTATTGGTTTTATTCATTCAACCAATAAAAGAATTATAAATGAAATTACATTGTGAAAATCATTTTCCATACACACACACACACATACATACAAAAAAAAAGCTAATGCCACTTTCATCTGCACTTCAAGCACGTTTAATTGAACGTGGCATTCTTAATGCTACGAATATCAATGCTGCACTTGGTTTGTATTTTTTATGAAAATGTAATTTCTTCAATTTTTTCTTGTTCTATTAGATGCTAGTGCTGAAAATGATGAAAAAAGTGAAGAAGTATTTGCGGAAAGTTATGATGAACGTGAGGATCATCATTCATCAACAACAATACCAAAAAAAGTATATTTACTATTCCATAGAACTTTTTCTTTTTTTAAAGTTTTCTTTTTTTTTTTTATTAGACTGTTTCAAGTAATATCTCAACTGCGGATATTCAAATTGAATTTGAAGAATGTATTAAATGTCCAAATAAATGGAATCCATATCATACTTGTGTTGAATATTGTAAAAAACGGTAAAAAAAAAAAAGAATTTTTTATGCAACAATCTAAACATGTACTTAGGAAATATCAAAAGTTCTTGCCATGGTGTTTAAATGATCTTTTCGAGTAAGAAGACCTATTGAGAAATGAAAAACCAGTTGTAGAACTTTTTGAAACGCATCGAATGGTATATAGTAAATCTTGTTTTCATAAGACTTTGAAAGATCTAGAGTCAATTTACTAATAGACGACTTCACATCCACATTCAAGCATGATAAGTTTCTGAATATTGTGGTCCTTGGTATTAGTCGAAAATACTTTTTCTCACATATGATTTTGTAGAGTTTTTGAAATGCTACAACCTCCTATATGTAGCATAATCGGTCATCTTGTCAGTATAAGTATGGTTGTGTAGTCGTCTATCAGTAAATTGACTCTAGATTTTTCAGAATCTTATGAAAACAAGATTTACGATATGCCATTCGATGCATCTCAAAAAGCTCTACAACTGGTTTTTCATTTCTCAATAGGTCCACTTACTCGAAAAGATCCTTTAAATGCCGTAGTCAGAACTTTTGATATACCCTAAGTACATATAGACTAATGGTGAATACATCATAAAATTTTGATGGTCTTTGATTGGAGAGGTCTAAGAACCCGAATCTCTAGAAGATTTGTCGAAATTCTCATTCGAGAAAAGCTTAGTTCTCATGGTTTAGTAATGTTTTATAAAATTCAGCTATTTCTTTGGAATAGACCTCCCACATCGAAAGAGTCAACTATTAAGATATACAAAGGAGATATTATGATTGAAATATGTTGTTGTAGAGCGTATGTTGCTAGCAGTGTTTTATCCAGTATTAGAAGTGGCGCTACTTTGAAGATCGGACGGGCGATTTAAAACTCCCGCAGAGGACCAATCCAATTTTTGGAGAGACGCTGTCCCATTGAAATCTTCTATTGAAAAAACATCTCTAGAACTAAATTAGAATGGCTATATTTTTAATCTTATAGTGACAATCGAAATAATGATTTATTTTGTATTTTAAAAGATATGGTAGTAAACATTATACACCAGATCCATCGACTGAAAAACGACGTCGAAAAATGTTAAAAAAATATCCATTACCAAACAATTGGCGTGAAGTACCTGATGCTAATTTAGATCGATGTTATTATTGGAATTTAGAAACTGATGAAGTATCATGGTTACCACCATCTCATCCACGTTCACATATAACTCAATCAGCTATTAAATTAAAACGTAAAAAAAGAAAAAATTTAGTTGACCTTTTTTTTTTTTTGAAATGAATTGATTTTTGTTTTTCAAGAAAAAGAAATGGAAAGAAAAGCAGCAGAAGCATTAAAACAAACATCAGGATCAACGAAAAAGAAGAAAAAAAAGAAAAATTCAAATGATGTAAGAAATGAAATTCTATTTAAAAGAAAAACAAAAACTTTAAATTTTTAGACTGGAGAACGATCAGATACAGATGAAGAAGATTTAAATTCTGTACAAAAATTAAAACGTAAAATTGGTAAGTATATCAAATTAATCTTCTCAGTAGCGTCTGTCGATCGGGTTCTGATCTGACTTCATGGGTGGTGGTACTCTGAAAAAAAGAGCCAATTATAAATTGATTCTTATAAGATCATAATCGAGATTGCTTCAGAACTGTTAAGGGTGTGTTCCTGAGGGTTGTCAGGTGCGAATTAAAAGAATCAACCGATTCCGAATCCAAAACTTCTCAGTGAACTACTCTAATTGTTAGGGGAGATCTTTCATTAATTATTAATGAATGTTTATTTATTTTAGCTGGTAAAATGCTAAGTTATGATGCTGATCCTGTAAGTAATCTTTTTCCAAAAACTATTATCAATATTTAATTTTTCTGTATTTTTAGATGGATCCATCATCTTATTCCGATGTACCAAGGTAAATATTTTAAGAAATAAGTTTATTAATTTATATTTTTTTTTTATTACTTCAGGGGTAATTGGTCATCTGGTCTTGATTTAAAAGGCAAAGCAAAAACTGGTGTTGATGAAACTGCTAGTGGTGAATTATTTCAAATGCGTCCATATCCATCACCGGGTGATGTACTTCGTATGAATGCTGAAGGTGGATCAAAGAAAAAATCGAAAAATACATAGTTTTTTTTTTTGTAAAAAGAAAAAGATGCGAACTAGCAATTATTGTCATGTTAATAAATATGTTTTGTTTTTTCTTTATTTGTCTCGAATCTTATCGATACAGAGTATATATATATTTGTTTCTTTTTCAGATATATATTGTTTTGCAAAATCGTCATTAGAAAATAAGTAAGTTTTTAATTTCCTTTTTGATTTTAATATTGTATATGAAATAGATTTGATTATGATAGTATAGAGAATATTTCGAAATATATGATTTTAAATATTAGTAGAAGGAAAAACAAAAAGATTTTTTTTTTTTCTTTTTATTATCAAATGCAAAAACTGATTCATTTGTTCTTACAACATTTGGAAGCATTCTTTCAGTTTTAAATTTTTTTTTTGTGTATAACTAAAAGCACACACGCACACTAAATACTACATTTAAATGAATAATTTTTTTTTTTTGTCTAAACACACAAACATATGTATAATGTTTTAAATTCGTACCCAAATAATTCCATCTTCAATATGTACAATGAAACCAGTCGTTTCATCACGATATTGTTGTGGATACGATTTTGTTTTTGTATCTACTGTTGTTTTTGTTATTTTATTAATCATTGATGATATTGAATTTTTTGCTTCTGAAATATTATTTGTTGATATTGTAGATTTTTCCATTGGTATTATTTTATTTATTGATAGTGATGGAGGAGGAGGAGGAGAAGAAGAAGAACGAGATGATTTTTGTAATCGTTGTTGAGATTTATCATTTGTTGATGATGAAAGTAAATTAAGTAATAAATAACGATATGTATTTATTTCTGACCAAAGACTAATAGCATTTTCACGTAAATGTACAATAATACAATCTAATTCTGGTAATTCAATTTGTAATTTTTGATATTCACGATCGGATATTTCATAACGTTGACGATTTTGTTCAATTATATTATGAAGATCTTTTTCAAGTTGTTCTAAAGAAGAAAAGAAATAGGAAATTTTTCTTTTTTTTTTCTTTTTACCTAATTTATTTTTAAGTAATTGATTTTGTTCAATTAATGTTCGATATTCTTGTTTTGTTGAATCTAAAGCTATACGAATTTCATCTGATTTCGATAGTTCTTGTTTTTGTTCATTATGTTTCGTAATTTCATTTCGTATTGTATTTAATTTTGTTTTATATAATAGTTCTAATTCAGCTAAACGTGCATCATTAAGTTCTTGATAATCTTTACTAAAAAAACAAAAGTATTCAAAATACAAAAACATGGTTAGCATAATTTCTATAAGATTAAAATGAAGAAATATAATGTAGCTGATAATTACAGAAAGATTGTTTTATTCTAACATATCAATTAACCCTTCAGAAATGCAATAAGAAAATAGTTAAGATATTATAACAGGATGTTATTGATATACAGTAGAGTCCGGCGGGATAAATTTCTTTTTTCGAGACAATATTGAATGTCTCATGGTAGTAGCGGCGCAATATCAACGTATGTCGTGTTCGCCAGGATACAAATCAATAGTAGAGTCACTAATGGCGGAACTAGAAGACAAGCTCTTCTCTTCTTCTACTATATTAACACTGTATTCTTGATTACAAGGCACAGGTATTGAGAGCGCTAGTAGTATCACGGGACGGAACAAATGGGGTTTTTGAGGATTCAGGACCTATCCCACGAAACTCTAAGGTACGGCCTGTGGCGTTTCCATGGTTACGTCTGTACAGGATAGAAATTTTTACCATAGATGGAATCAATGTAGTTTTTTGACGACTGGTACTGATAGATCGATCGACACCAGCACCTTTTTTTTTTGCATAATTTGTTTTCGTGAAATTCAAACAAAACTTCATTATATATTTAATGAACAACATCAAAGAATGTTGCAAGAAATTCAATGAAAAGTATAAAAGTTAAACCGGTAAATAACGATAGACCGGTCGGTTATTGGTATCGGTTCCAGCTATGATTTATATCCGCGTACTTCAACATTTGTTTGATATCATGTTTTATAAAATAAGAAAAGAATTACTAACCGAATTTGTTGAACAATATAATGAAATTCATTTTTATTAAATTCTTTATTTAAATCATAATGAAATTTTTCTAAATATTCAAATTCTTGTTGTCGTCTATGATAATATTCTTGTTCAAATGATAATTGTTCTTTAAGAGTATATAATTTATTTTCATTTTCTATTCGTTCGTAAGTTATTTTATCATAATCATTAGAATATTTGATTAATTTATTTATATATTCTTTATATTGATTTTTGTACATCTGAATAAAAAAAGAAAATTTACAATTAAATTTTTCTATATGATTTTGATTGTTCGAAGAAAACAAAAACCCTAATTGAAATCGACATAAGAAGATAGATGATTTAGAATGGTGAAAATTTTAAATCAATTAATTTCTTCAAGATTTGAACTATAAACATTGAGTCTAACTCATAACTAGCGTTATAATAACAAACTTGTATAATTGTTTGAATCATCAAAAACCTATTTGCCGAGGTTCAAGTTTTCGATTACTTTTTAATCGAATTTCAAGTTTCACTGATTTTTTGTATGTTCTACTTTGACATATGAATGATGAAAATTTTTCAAATGAAAAAAAAACAAGCAACCATTCTTCGCATACTGATATCTCCGGATGCGAAACGTTCACAGTAAACTATTATAGTTGAGAGTTTTATTTATGTAAATTTTTAGAGGACTACAGATTTTGATATGTCAAGAACAAAGATTCAGATAATTGAATCATCGTAGGCTTTGACACTGCGTATCATCCGAATACACTCAGATACGTTATAGTGATAAATGGGATCAATCGTTTTTGATTTCGGTCTCAGTCAGAAAAGAATGTTTAGTTGTGGTTTCACGCTTAGTAATACATATACTAGCGGGAATTGCGATATCATTTTCTAGTAATACCAATGCATTCGAGACATCTTGCGTAATCTCTAATGTTTTTCCTTTTGGAGATTCATTAACTTTTTTTAATTCACTAATACTTCGTTTATGTGTTCAACAACTCAATTGCTTACGAAAAAAAAAAAAAAAGAAAATTGTAACAACAAATATTGAAGTAATCATTACTCAATAATCTTCGCATAGATTTTTAGAACACGAAAGTTATGAGAATATGACATTTGACCCAAGTCTTACATGATTATAAAAGATATCATTTTCAATGAAAAAGTTTTGATCCTGATGGAAAAAAAAAGACTCGACTCCGATAGGACCATCTTATTTTCATATCTAATACATTTATTTATGAAACATATTTCTTACTTGTAAATCTTGTTCACGATTTTCATATTGTCGTTTAAGTTGTTCTAATTCTTTTAAATTAATTTCAAGTTGTTGTCGTATTGTACGAAATTGTTCTGATTGTTTTTGTTCATGTAATGTTAATAATTTAATATTATTTTGATAAAATTTAATATCATAATCAGCACGTTGTAAACGTATTTGTACTAATGTTTGTGCACGTACTTCATTATTAATTTGTTTACGTAAATTATTTAATGGAATTTCATATGGATGTTGATATTTTTTAATAATTTTTTTTTGATTATTAGTTTTTATTTCAATTTCTTGTTCTTCACATTGTCCCATATATTTTCTATATGCATCATCAACTTGTCGACGTAGATTAGTATTTATATTTACTAAATGTTTAATTTTATTTAAATAATTTTCAAAACGTTTATTAAGTATATTTAATTCATGTTTTTCACATTCTTGTTGTGTTTCATGAAGTTCATCAATATGTATTGTACTTGAACGTGTACCAATAGTACTGCTATTACTACGTGCATTATTCGTACGAGACAAACGTGATGTTGTTTTTGCTAAATTATTTAATGTGCCAGTATAGGTAGATGAAGACGATGGTGCCATAGGCATTGTTTCATTAAATGACATTTGAGAATGATGATCAGCACTTTTTGCACGTTCATGATTGTTATTTAAAGAACTTAATGATGGTGAAAGTGGTCTGCAGGATATTGATGAATGATCTGTTTCATAATAAACAGTTGTTGGTTTTGTTTGTTGTTGATTTTGTTTAGTTGAATGAAATGGTTCATTATCAAAATTTACATTTTGATTTAAATATGAACTAGTCATTGTTTGTAAATCTTGCCAGGAATTTATTATTGTTCCTCGATTCATTTCTATTTTATAATATATGAAAAATTTTGTAAATTGAATTTTTGTCATGTATATTTGAATAAGAATTATCACTTACCTGTTGTTGTTGTTGTTGTTGTTTGTTTGTTTTTTTATTTTCAATTAACAATTTTTAATGAATATGATAAGATGCATAAAACGAAAGAGAATTTTTATTGAGCTTGATACATTTAATCTATGTAAATGAGAAAAAAAAAATTTTTTTTTTGCTTTCAAAAGAATTTTATTATTTTATTTTCGAGCTCATTTCATGACGATATATTATTTATGAGATGCAAAAATGATTTTCAATTCAAAAAAAAAATACACAACAAACGATGAATTCATGTTTATATATTTAATATCTCTAATTTATGCTTCTTGATAACATCATATTTTATAATCCTTCATTTGAGGGACATTTATTCAATAAATACTATCAAAATCTTTTGAAATAACCTTGATAAAAAACAAAGAAAAAGGAAATTAGTAATTGCTTACTTGAATCCCTGCTGTTGAACATAGTACTAATGATAATAATAAGGAGGTAACTATTTCTTTCTTTTATTCGTGCTCAAAAGAGAAAGTTCTATCGTATTTATATTTATACACATATATATGCGACTTTTTTTTTCTCTTCTCTGTACTCCCTCTCTCTCTCTCTCTTTCGCTCTTCTCAGTATATGTTATATGTCCATCGTATTTGAAATACATACACTATGAATTGATGGCAGCAGTGCTAAAATGTATGTCTATATACAGACACGATACGACAAATTACCGATTGGTATGCATATATTGCATATACAAGAATATATATATAGATTATATGAAAAGTATCGAATATGAAAGCAAAGAGAAAAAAAAGAAGAAAAATGAGGTAACCTGAAGGTTGATGACAATCAGAATTTTTTGATAGAAGAATTGCCACTGCAATAGACAAGAAAGAAAATAATTTTTTTGATCAAATTTGTCTGTTGTTATTGTTAGATAATAAACGATGATTTATATGTGTTACTGTTCTATATAAAAATGATGAAAGTTTATATATGTACAGGATGAACAAAAAAAAAATTGATTTTACTTACTCAATCATACATTTCTTGTTCTTTCGGTTTTATTTTAAGTTTTGTTTGAAAATGATTACTTACACTTGATCAAATATATTTGTTCACTCGGACATCGCGAGCAGGTTGTTGAGAAAAAAAAGAATTGTATGATGCAACACTTGGACATTCTCTGTTGTCGACTCGCAATCGACTCTATGAGTCGTTGTTGGGATTAAAGTGTTGTTGTTATTCTTGCATAATCATTTGTATCAGATTTCTTTTCTTTTCTTTTCTTTTTTCATTTTGTCTTATATTCTTCTCTTTTTCATTTTATACTTTTATAATTAATTCTAGTTGATTTTTCTATAATAGATATTTGAATTTAAACAAAATTCTTGTTTTTATTTTTGAATTAAATAAAGTTGATAATCAATATTCAATTCATTGAGTTTGGATATGTAAAAAATAAAAAAAAAAAAACAAATTACTTAATCAATTTTTTGTGTTTCAATTCCGACTATTATTTTAAGAATGATCGATTTTTTGAGTTCTTCCTATTATTAGTCATATCAAATATTGTTACAGAGATTCATTATCATAAACAATAATAATAGTACGGATGCAAACATTACAATTATTCGAAAGTCCGAAGATAAATAAAAACATATTATGCTGACGGACATAAGTTTATTATTTCTCGTTACTACTCATTTGAACAAGTTAATAGGAAATTTTGTATATCATATTAAAATGAATGCTTCACCTTCGAAGATTTAATTTCTATTTGAAATAACAACAACGTCTGTAGAAATAAGATACTGATGGAAATGAACTCCATCGATATAATAACCTTCAATCAAATATTTTATTTATCTTTGTATAAGAATTAATTATTTATTTTTCTATGATTTAGAATATATTAACATTTTATGTTTAATATTCTAATTGATGAGCATCTTTATTATATTCAATATTTTTATGTTTGTTTAAATAGCGATTAACAATTTAAATTGAATAGAATGTGATGTCTTTTTCTTTTTCAGATAAATTTTTTTTTCTTTTTTCTTCGAACATGGATCAAACAGATCTTTATGATCAATTTGGAAATTATATGGGTCCAGAACTTGAATCCGATGAAGAAGATGATGAACAACAAAATGGTTATCGACAAGAATTAGCAAATGTTGATCAAACAAGTGATATGGTTTGTAGATTAATTTGATTTTTATCATAATAATAATAATCATTATTATTATTATTATTATTATAGGAAGATGATGGTGATGAAGCTGGAGGTGAAGATGAAGCTATTGATGTTTCAAATTTATCAACAGCTGTTGTATTACATGAAGATAAAAAATATTATCCAAGTGCTATAGAAGTTTATGGACCTGATGTTGAAACAGTTGTTCAAGAAGAAGATACACAAGCATTAACTGAACCAGTTATTGCACCAGTAAAAAAAGCAAAATTTTCACTTGTTGAACAAGAAATACCTGAAACAATATATGATCTTGAGTAACAAAAAAAAAAAAAAAAACAACAATCTATCAAATTACATATTATTCTATAAATTCAAAATTTCTTTAGATATTTAGCTGATTTAATGGATAGTCCAGAACTTGTACGAAATGTTGCTATGTGTGGACAATTACATCATGGAAAAGTAATTTGAAAATTTTTCATTTATGTTATTATAATTTCTTTTTTTTTAAAATTTTAGACAACTTTTTGTGATGCATTAATTGAACAAACTCATCCATATTTAGCATCAACAGAAAATAAAGAAGTTCGTTATTATTAATTTTGAGAAAAAAAAAAAACAAACAACTTTTCTTTTTTTTTTTTTTCTAGTTAAGATATACTGATACATTATTTACTGAACAAGAACGTGGTGTATCAATTAAATCAACACCATTTACAATACTTTTACCTGATCTTAAAGATAAAAATTTTCTTTTTAATATATTAGATACACCTGGTCATGTAAATTTTTCTGATGAAGTTACAGCTGCATTTCGTCTATGTGATGGTGTTGTTATTTTTGTTGATGCTCATGAAGGTGTTATGCTTAATACAGATCGATTAATTAAACATGCTATGCAAGAACGTCTTGCAATTACATTATGTATTAATAAAATTGATCGTCTTGTACTTGAACTTAAATTACCACCACAAGATGCATTTTTTAAAATTAAACATATTATTGATGAAGTTAATGGATTAATTAAGTAAGTATTTTAGGAGTTAAATAGATACATAGTGATTTATCTAGTGTGAAAATTAAGAGACTGGTAGAGTCCTTCTGAAGTTTATGGTTATTGTATTATGCATCTGTGTTCTTAAGACCTCCCCCTCAAAAATCAATCTCAACCCCGATATGTTTAAATGAGCTGAGATTTGGAAGGTATGTTGGGGCTGAAGTGAGGAGGCTATGATAAAATTTTCGGCTCGATACCCAGATGTTTGACCGAGATATGAACTAAACAAGGGTCAAAAATAGCTTATTTGGCTACCCATTTTTTTCCATCCAGGCTCTTTGAATATATTTAATTTTTTTTTTGTTTGAAAGAGCATGACGAGGTCCGTTTTTTCAAATACTTACTTTCTAAGTGGAAAAAAGGGATTACAAGTTTCATGACTTAAAAAGCTCTCTAAAAATGGGTATCTAATTAGATAAATCTCTATATATATAATAAAAACCAAAGTTTAATTTAAAAAATAGGCTCCGTCATGCCCTGCATTTTGACGTGCTCTTTCAAACAAAAAAAATTTTTAAATATATTGAATGAGCCTGGATAGAGAGAAAATGAGTTGCGCGGTCAAAAACGCATAAACTGAGAAATAACGAAAAACATTCTTCGTTTTTTTCAAAAAGAGGTTGATGAAAATCATTGAAAATTTTGGCAAAAAATGAGATGCCGAAGAAAAAACAATAGCGTTTCTGGAAGAACGGAAGACGGGCTATCTTCCCATGCATTTATCTCAATTTTGACGAAAATGGACTTTTTTGAGGGAGGAGGGAAGGTCTTAAAAAAATAGATGTTCGTCTTTTTGAAGTTGTAAATCACCCATCCGGAAAGCAAAACCTGAATAAAATACTAATGAGACAATCACTCGAGATGATATCTCGCATTTGATATGAGACCCCAGTTATTATGTAGGATCTGTTGAAACTAGAAGGATTCTTCTCCATGTTCTGTCCTTTTGGAGTTATGGTCGTTATACTAGATTTTCTTCCCTTTAGCACGATATATATAAAAAAAGCCGTGTCCAAGGTAAAAAATATAGTGCACCACCCATAAGACTTAACAGGCCCTACGTAATGACTGAAGTCTTATCTCAAACATGAGGCATCACTTCGGCTGGTTCTCTTGTAAGTAGACAGTATATAATAATGAAAATATAGTATACTACTATCGGATTTTTATTAAAATGCCAACCATCGAAGGAAGTTTTTCATGAGATTTGTAGGTAAACATCTTTTTCGTAGCAATCTCGGTTCAGATTACATCGAAATACAGTTCAAAGAGAGTCGTATATATGGAATACAACAGTCCTCGGGTTATATTTTGATATAATTTGAGTCTAGGTTGCTACGAAAAGTTGTAGTTATGGGCAATGAAAAAAAATATCTATCTACAAATATCCATGAAAAACTTATTCAAACCTAATGAATGTTATACAGATAGGTGTCTTCAATATTGTTCCATGTAATAGCGAATACCCGACGTAAGATTATGGTTATAAAATTGGAGTAACAAAAAAATAAAATAAAATTACAAAAAATAAAATTCTTTGTGTAATTCAAATAGCTTTTTAAATATCGATTCTAGAGTACATTTGATGATATACTCAAGTAAATAAATTGAAATATTTATTGAAGTGAAAACATTTTTATTAAGTTGATAAGTATCAAAAAAGAGTTTGATTTCTATTTGCACTGCACATTTATTTTTTTTTTGTCTGAAGAAAGTCAAAGTTATTTCAAAACATAAAAAAAAAAAAATTTCTCTATCATGACATTATTTGTTTTAGAACGCATTCTGAAGATGAAAGTAATGCTTCATATGTTTCACCATTACTTAACAATGTATGTTTTGCCAGTTCATATTATCGATTTTGTTTTACACTTAAATCATTTGCTAAAGTTTATGCTGATACACATGGTAAATGAAATAAGAGAATTTTTTTTAAAATCTAATATTAATTAAATATTTTAGGTAATGCTTTTGATTATCAAGCATTAGCAAAACGATTATGGGGTGATATTTATTACAATGCTAAAACGTAAATATTAAAATATATGTTATTTAATTTATTTGTCTGTTTTTTTTTTGTCTTCATATTAAATAGACGAACGTTTGGTAAAAAAGGTGCTACAGCAAGTTCATCTCGTTCATTTGTTCAATTTATTCTTGAACCACTTTACAAAATTCTAGCTCATGTAAATTATTTTTATTATTCGATTTAATTAATTGTTTAGAAAATTTTTTTTGAAACACAATCTAAAAAGAATGTTGAAGTACAGGGGTAAAAATTCCGAACGACTCTCCTAGGCCCATTGGGTTTAAAATTTTCCAACCGAGTCGAATCGTACTTTGATATTCTCAATGAAATTTTCTAATCGGAATTAGATAGCCGTCCCGAAGAAACGAGATACTTTTTTTTCCAGATTTTTGTATTCGATGACTAGCGCACCCTACACATTTCTCAGACGACTAGAACTCATTAGATCCAAAATTTTCCGACCTGAATCCAATCGGATCTGGCGCCAACTCTACGGGCTTTATCTGCCCTCGCCGACCGTGACAGACGCCATTGATATACGATTAACGACTGTATACCAAAAAACATCTCGTTCTAATATATGAACTATTTACCTATTGCATTTCCGAAGGATTAAGTAAAAATGAGGGTGAAGCAGGCCTCGAAATCAGGCCACTTTTTTATGGTCCGGCCAATGCTCTAGGCCCACCCGGTCCGAAAGAAACTTCGTTTACATAAATTTTTTTTCTCAATAGACAGCTGTTCTATATTTGAATCTCAGAAAAAGGATAAAATCGTCGGGCTGGATGGCCTGCTTCGAGATCTGTGATGAAGAATCCAAAATAGATAGAATAAAGCAATATCCTTGTAATTAGCAAGAGCAGCTACATCGTATTTCACATTTTAATCTCATAGGAATTATGCTAAAACAATTGTTTTTATTCTATAGGTGGTTGGTGATGTTGATATAACACTTCCTGGTGTTATTGATGAATTAGGTATTCGGTTATCAAAAACTGAATTAAAACTTAATATTCGTCCATTACTTCGTCTTGTTTGTGCTCGATTTTTTGGTGAATTTAAAGGTTTTGCTGATATGATTGTTCAACATATTCCATCACCAGTTGCTAATGCTCGAAATAAAATTGAACATTTATATACTGGTAGTTTACAAGAAGATATTGTAACAGATATGAATAATTGTAATCCTGATGTAAGTTAAATATTTGTAAAATGAATGAAAAAAAAAAAAAATTTTTACTTTAGGCACCTGTAATTATTCATACAACAAAAAATTATTCAACATCAGATGCAACATCATTTCATGTATTAGGAAGAATTTTTTGTGGTACACTTAAATCTGGACAAGATGTACGAATTTTAGGTGAAAATTATAGTTTAAAAGATCCAGAAGATTCATTTTCATGTGCTGTTGGACGATTATGGGTATTTAATGCTCGGTTAGTAAAGATGTTTTTGTTTTTGTTATGAAAACTTCAAAATTATGAATTTCTTTTTTGTTTAGCTATCGTATTGAACTTAATCGAGTTCCAGTTGGTAATTGGGTATTAATCGAAGGTGTTGATCAATCAATTGTTAAAACATCAACTATTGTTGATAATTCAGGTTTAATACGTGGTCGTCGAATGAATGTTACAAATATTGATGATGTAAGTAAATAAGTTTGGTCATTTTCTGGTTCTGTTTTATCGGATTGTTACTCATAAATAAAAAGCTCATATAAAAATGACTTTTCTTCAGTATTCAATATAACGAGAAGAAACCAATTTCTTTTCATCTGAAACTTCTCGAATGTTTTATCAACAAAATTTCAGGTAAAAATCCGGCAAAACAATCCTAACTCAACAAGGAAGGCCTACAGGGATAAATATCCTTTTAGTTTCACTTGAGTGAAAAGTTCCACAATTGATTAAACTGCTTTAGGGTTGGGGCTATGTACATTTTGTAGATCGCATTGAACTATAGATATCCTGAAAAGAGTTCGAATCCTTAACGTATTGCTTTGGAAATACTGAATTTTTACAGTATTTTTTAACTCAATACGATAGTCCCTATTAAGAACATCAGGTAAACTAGTTTTTAAATTTCGATTAGAAAGTTTGTACTGGCACAGATAGAGCCCAATCGGATCCAATAACTTCCGAACCCGAATCCGATGGGCTCTAGGGATGGATCTCAACGAGAATAGTTTATAACGAAAGTTTCTGATCTTTTAATTTGCTTCTATCCTGAGATAAGAACATTGAATTTGTCGGTTTAAATAAGTGATGTACCAGAATACACTTTTACCATCGTCATATCTTAGGATAGAAACAATGAAATATTTTGTACACTTTCACAATAAGCTATTCTCGTTAAGAACAGTCTATATACAGAATTTCAAGTCAAAATTCAAAAATCAATTCTTCTGAAGGGGTTCACGGCATTGAATTAAAAAACTACTATGAAATAAGTTAAGAGTCTGAATTCTTTTATTCATAGCTCATTAGTGTCTACATAATGCATGTAATCCTAAATCAAAAACGATCAATCCTGCGACTAGAGCCGATCGAGTCCAAGATTTTTGGACCCGTACCCGGAACTGGACCCGGTCGCTGAAATTTTTTGGATCTAAACACGATAATAAATCAGTTTCGATAATATATTCAAAAAGTGTTTTGCTGTTTTTTATCTATTTTCTAAATACATTCAATTTTTTTTTCTTCATAAAACGAACAAAATTTTGAAAAAATTCACAATACATTGTAGGCATCAAAGTTTTCTTCAGATCCGGATCCGAGTGGGTACGGGTCGGGCCCAGATCCTACTGATGCACCAAATATCACTTCGATCGTCGATTAATGATTGAATATATCCGTTTATTAGTTTCGACTATGATTAGAAATTCTTTTAGTCTTCGACTTCAATCTGTTGTTATCTAGAACGAATACATTGGTCTTAATTATTTAAACGATCTGCTTTCGTAGAGCAATTCTGAGAATTTATTATTCATTATTGTAGTTTTTGATTTTTGATATATGTAATTTTTTTTTCTAGGTTCAAATATTTCGACCATTAAAATTTAATACAACATCAGTTATAAAAATTGCAGTTGAACCGGTGAATCCATCTGAATTACCAAAAATGTTAGATGGTTTACGTAAAGTTAATAAAAGTTATCCATTATTAAATACAAAAGTTGAAGAATCTGGTGAACATATTATTCTTGGTACAGGTGAACTTTATCTTGATTGTGTTATGCATGATCTTCGTCGAATGTATTCAGAAATAGGTTTGTATTATTATAAGTTTTCTTTTATTCTTTATTTTTTTTTTGAATTAAATTTATTTGTTTAGAAATTAAAGTTGCTGATCCTGTTGTAACATTTTGTGAAACAGTTGTTGAAACATCTTCATTAAAATGTTTTGCTGAAACACCCAATAAAAAGTAAAAAAAAAAAGCATTATTTTTTTTTGTTCGTTAATTAATCAATCAATTTTTTTTGTTCTTCTAAGAAATAAATTAACAATGATAGCTGAACCATTAGAAAAAGGTATAGCTGAAGATATTGAACAAGAAGTTGTTCAAATTAGTTGGAATAATAAACGTATAAGTGATTTTTTTCAAAATCGTTATGAATGGGATATACTTGCTAGTCGTTCAATTTGGGCATTTGGACCAGATATAAATGGACCAAATATTTTACTTGATGATACATTATCACATGAAGTTAATAAAACATTATTAACATCTGAACCTGTTAAAGAATCAATTGTACAAGGTTTTCAATGGGCAACAAGAGAAGGACCTTTATGTGATGAACGTATGTGAAAAAGATTTTCTTTTGATAATATTTAGAATTTATTCTTTTTTGTAGCAATTCGAAATGTTAAATTTAAAATTCTTGATGCTTCTATTGCACAAGAACCAATTCATCATGGTCGTGGTCAATTAATTCCAACAGCTCGACGTGTTGCTTATTCATCTTTCTTACTTGTATGTATTGTAAATAAATTTTAAGTCGAAACTTTGCGACTACTTCTTTCCTATAACAGACCTTAGCAATTGGGCTTAAAAGTCATGGAAACCATAAGTGTAAATCGATCATTTTAGCATTGCTGTTATCCGTAGTTATACAGGCAAAAATTTGTATAGCGAATATCATTGACTGAAATTTTAATATCAAAGAGAGAAGCAAGTCAAGAAAAAGAGTGTAAAATTAAGGTACTAATTTGTGCATTAGCAATAGTGAGGCAATATTTGTTTTCTTATCGCATTCATATTCTCAAGTTTTCATCAAAACTGACGATTCGAACGATTTACTCCTTTTTTTTTCAATTTTTCTCTCCTAAAGCAATCGATCTCTACCTTGATGAAGAAATACTGGCTGTTTCCGGTGGGAAACTGCCAGAATCATTAATCCGGATACTCAAAAAATTTGATTTTTATTATGCTATAGTACATTTTGTCAAACAATATCTCACACTTTTTCCTATTGTTCAAATCTTTTAACTAATGAATACTTTTGTGATATCGTCAGTAATAAATAATAAAACTCGAAAACCGATGCGGCTTTAGCGCAGTCACAATGAGTAGGCGGCAGAGAAGTACATGGTAGGACTGCTACCGCGACGGCGGCCGTGGTTGCTTCTTTTTCAGGGACAATATGAATTTGCACTCGATTTCAGTGTCTACAGATTCAACAGTCAGAATCAGATGAATTCAATCTAATTGTACTAATTCAGTACAGTGACAGAAAAGATTTTTGAAGAATTTTTCGGATATTATCGTTGCACGGACAAATTTTTACATGGTTCACCGTGTTACCCCAGTGGCAGATTCTCAACCGCAATTTCAATTGAAATCTGACATTTTTCTAAAATTTTTAAAAATATTCATACAGTGAGTTATTTTAAAAAATTAAGCAGAAGAACCATAGTTAACTCTCGTTACTAGAGCCCATCGGATTCAAAAATTCTTGGGTCCGATGGACTCAATCCCCGTCACTTATTAGTTCATTCATATTGATTGTTATCGTATATTTTCTTGGTCATATCATACGAACAATAATATTGCTAATTTAATGAAAAAGAGAATGAATTTTTTATCATAAACTAATCAATATTCTATTTGATTTTATACATTAAAATATCTATAATAATTTAATAATATTGAAAATGATTTAAAGAAAGACTTTTTGATATTTTTATCAGTAATTTTGATCATTATGGATAGACAAATCAATTTTTCATTCTTTCATTTATATGAGTTCTACATATCAATTCCAAAGTGAATATATTCTATTTATATTATTTTACTTTAGGCAACTCCTCGTCTTATGGAACCTTATTATTTTGTTGAAGTTATTGCTCCAGCTGATTGTGTATCAGCTGTTTATACAGTACTTGGTCGTCGTCGGTAAGTATTAATTTTGTCTTTTTCTTTTTAATTTACAAAAAAAAAACATAAAATTTTATTTAATAGTGGTCATGTTACACTTGATGCGCCAGTACCGGGTTCACCACTTTATACACTTAAAGCATTTATTCCAGCTATTGATTCAATGGGTTTTGAAACTGACCTTCGTACACATACACAAGGTCAAGCATTTTGTATGTCAGTTTTTCATCATTGGCAGGTACGGCATTTAAATATTTTTTTGTAATATTGATTTATTAAAATTTTATTTATTTAGATTGTTCCTGGTGATCCACTTGATAAATCAATTGTTATTCGACCATTAGAAGCTCAACCTGTAAATCATTTAGCAAGAGAATTTATGATTAAAACACGACGAAGAAAAGTAATAATTAAATTTTTTTGTTTCAATATTAATAATATTTTAATAAAAATAATATTTTTATTTTTAGGGTCTTAGTGAAGATGTTAGTATTAATAAATTCTTTGATGATCCAATGTTACTTGAATTAGCAAGACAAGATGTCTTACTTAATTATCCAATATAGATGAATAAAATATTATATACTTGTCAGATAGATTTTGTCTGTGTTTGTTCATCTATCTGACTATCATATTGTCAATGTTCTTGTTGTTATTAAAAATAAAATTTTCAAAGCAAAAATAATATATATATTCAATTAAGCTAAAATACAATTTTTATCGTTCATTAACGTTGAATCATATAACTAATAACTAAAATACTCGTATCTAGATACAAATTATAAAAGCAGAGAGGAATATTAAAAAGTATGATATGAATAGATACCTTTGAAAAAACGGTCTATTATCAGTATAAGACTAATTTTACTCATTTCGTAGACAATACTAAATGATTAAGCATCGATCTGATCATTAGGCATGTGGAATAAAACTCAATTCAATGATTTACGACAATGAAATTAAAAAAAAACGATAATTAACTTTGTTCATATGAACTACACGTGTGTGACATGTACATATTTTAATTCATGTGAACTATGAAAAACTTTTTTAAGAAAAAAAATCCTTAGTTGTATATTAAAATCTTAGTAAAAACAATTTATATTGAAAACATTCGTACAAATTCTAATTTTATTTCTATTAAAAGACATATAAATATGATCATTTAATTTCTATTTAAATATGGTCCGACTAATATAATATGTATTCAATCTTATCTTTTCTTTTCTTTTTTTTTTATCTATCTTATAAATAAATAAAAAGCTTCATATATATAAGAAAAAAAAAGTATTTATACTTAACACTATTATATTTATATAACATGATCTTGTTATCTTTAATATAGACAAAGTCAAAATTTATTTAGTTATCAGTAATCAAAAAGTTAAAACAAAGAATAAGAAAATTTTAAATAATACGAACTTAACCGTCGAGAATGGGACTTACAGATAATGGAAAAATTGGCACTATTTGTAATCGTATAACTTCTAGAAATCTTCTTATTGTTGCTTTCGTATTTCTTGGTTTACTCTCATTTTCATTACTTATTACTGTTATTGTTCAAGCACGAAAAAATCATGAAATAAATCATGAAACAAATAATAATGAATTATGTCTTACTCGAGGATGTATTTCAGCAGCAACACATCAATTACGTTCTATAGATAATACAGTATTATCGAATTTATGTACAGATTTTTATACATATGCATGTGGTAATTGGATAAAAACTCATCCTATTCAATCATTTGATGTTGAACGAACAATACTTGGTGATATAATTGATCGACGTAATTTTGAAATTGAACGTCTTCTTGATGCACCTATATCACGTACAAATGAACGAAGTTGGGAATATAAACTTAAAGTTTGTTTGAAAAAATTTTTCTTTATTTCTTTTTCAAAAAAAAGAAAATTATTTAGACATATTATACTGAATGTCTAGATGATTATGCACGAGTACCTAATAGTGGAACATATATGATAGGACTTATAAAAGATAATGCTACAATTGATGGTTGGTTTATGTTTGATAATAGTGTTGAAAATGCTAGTCAAGTAGCTTTATTAAAAAATCAAACATTGTATCAACAAATGTCTCATATCCATGGAGATTTTGGTAGGTCAATAAAATCTTATTTTTATATTAAATTCATGGTGTGTGTGTGTTTTTTTGTGTTTCGTTAGGTGCTTTGGCTATATTTGGTATACGTACAAGATTTGATGAAAATGATACAAGTATAAAACGACTTGAAGTATAGAAAATATAATAAAAACAATTGTAAATGACTAGTTGTTTTCTTTTTCTTTTTTTTTGTTGTAAGTTCTTTCCAGCTGGTCTAACCATGGAAGTCAACGATTATGTGGGTACTGATTCAGTATCAATGTCAGTAAGTCAAATAATTAGATCGTCATATTTCGAAATATATCATCACAATATTATTGTATGAAAGCAAAAACCTTTAATTAAAATGGAAGAAAGAGAAAAACTACTTTCAACATGCCAGAATTTAAGGCACTTGGATGGTTTTTGAATAACTTTCGATAGGAACGAGATAGAGATCTGCAGTTTTCACGAGAAATGTTTGAGTCATCGATCTGCATAGAATTCATTAAGACGCGAAGGATAGGTCTTTTTTTATAGGGACTTTTGGATCAACACGTTTTTCTTCGCATATATCACTCTTTTTTCCTGATAAAAATTATCACATATTTTTGTAAATCCGCTTATAATAAGAGGCTAAGGGACAGTAGAATACGTGATATTTTTATAGTGAAAAGAATGGGTAATTTGAGTTGAGATTATTGTGAAAATACGCGAAGAAGAAAGTATTGATCAAAAAGCACCTATAAATAAAAAAGACCTATCTTTCGTCTTAATGAGTTCTATGCAGATCGATGACTCGAACATCTCTCGCAAAAACTGCAGGTCTCTATCTTGTTCCTATCGGAAGTTATTTAAAAAACATCCGAATGCCTTAAATTCTAGCGGTGATAATACTTGTCAAACAGGATCATTAATGAATGTTGAATATATTGGCAAGAAAATTAGATAGCTTGATGCTACACACAGCGCAAGATATTTCAACTAACATTTTTTCTTGTTCGCATAGAACTGGAGATGTGCGGGATTGGCTTAGAGAAAACTATTTCAGAATTTATTCGAATTAAATCTAGTAAAAAAATCTGAAATACTCATGTTTTGATTAATTCAATCGATGAATGTCACCTTTTGCTTTAATTGATATGATTAATAATATAATTCATCAAAACGTTTAACTAAAATTTTTAATTCTAATTCGAACAATTTTTCTTGGAGTTCTGATATTGATATCCGTAAAAGGGTTTTTTTTATTTTACTTTTTGTTTTCCTAGTGATTTCTATTCATCACTTCTTTTTTTTTCATTTGAAAGAGAATTTACTAATTAATTTATTTTTAGCGTCGTGCAGCTTTACAATTATATATTGTTGAAGTAGTAACTTTACTTGCTATGGAAGCAGGAATAAATGATACAAATTTAAGTGATCGAGCATTTACTGTTGCTAATGATGTATTTACTGTTGAAGAATTTTTAGCTGAAGTATGTATATATCAATACTATAAATTTAAATAAAATATATTTTATTTTATTTTTTTTTAGAGTCTTCAACGTAATCCTACATCTAATGTGCCACGAACAACAACTTTACAAGAAATCTCAGCACAATTTTCGGTAAATGATAATAAAATAAATTATCAAGAAATAAAAATCTTTTCTTTATTTTTTTTTAAGTTTGATTTTTCTAATTTAATGGCACATGAATTAGGTGATCCAAGTGTTATTTCAATATTAACACCTATCTATTTATCAAATACAATGTATTTCACAGATGCATTTGGATATATGTCAAAGGATACAGAGTAAATATAATTTTTAGATTAAGAGCATTTCCCATCTTCCCTTTCGTGATCATTGTATAGTCTGAAGTAGTATCAATCTACTAATGAAGAAAGGAGACGCTCAAGTAATAAATCGTGTTTAAAGTAGAACTATATTCAATCGATAGAATCTAGGTATGTTTTCAAGCAAAATTATATGTTTGAATTTTGATCTGAAACTTAGCTTAATTAGATTAGCTTGTAGAAATTTAAAAAACCATACGATTTTTGAAGTACTTTTTTATTCGAAAAATAAAAAGTAAAATGATACCATCCATTTCAAACAGTGTTTAGTGCCTGTGAAAAAAATTCCCATCTCGATTGAGTATAACGGCTTGTCCAAACGTAACGCTGTTACGTTTTTGATATACTCTTCTCCAACTTTCTCGAAAAGTTTAAGAGCTAGGAAGTTCGTTCAAACGTCATTCGATGCAGCTTATCGAACTCCATTTATCGTATAAAAATGACCTTTTTTGATTGAAGTCTCAGGCATCTAGAAATGTTTTATCATGGCGTAACGCTGCTACATAAAAGGACCCTTTTTTTCCAGTGCCATTGAGAAAACTCTAATTTCTTGCGAAATCATTTCTTCAAATGTAATGCTCCAAGAATCACTTTTGTAGAGCATTGAATAGACTTTCAGGCAGTAAAAAAGATTTTCTCTAAAATGTTTTTGTTCAAATAAAAAATGCAAAAAACAAACGTAACGCTGTTACACAGTTTTTGTTGACCAATTTTAAGGCACTTAGTGTACTCGGAATTACTTGATTTTTATAATTGTTACTGTTTTATAAGTAGACAATCTCCTCTGCAAAAATGAGATTGATACATCGATCTGAGAGCTTATAAACTGGGCAGGAAGTTGGAAACCTTATCGAAGCTTTGAATCCATTCTAAGCTACCAAAGTCAAAACTAAATAGACCATTTTGTAGAGAATTTAATTCTGCATCGAATGGTATGCCTCTTAGCCCTTGTTGAAAAAATTTCTTGGTCAAAGAATCCAAAAGACGATTTTTGAAAAGTTTAAAATCCAATTTTTGATATCAAAATCTGATTTTTATGCTAAATCAATATCAAATTCGTAATCGGCATAAAAAACTGCATCTAATAGTCCAATGAGATCTGTCCAACTCGAAAAAAATTTTTTTCAAAACTTGATCAGCGAAGTGTCGCGTTACGTGGACAAGCCGATAACATCTCGGAGGAACATGTGCAAAAACTAGGATTATTCTCATCCAGGTATCTCTTAGAATACAACATATGGAAAGTTTGAGTCTATGAAAATTTTTGCTCTACTTAACAAGAACTATCTATCTTAAAAATTTCATATTTAGTCCATTATTTGCACGAATGATTCATAATTATCTTCGATGGCGTCTTATTTCGACTTATATTGATGATCTATCATATGAATATGTTCATGCACATCGATTATATCTTAATGCTTATTATGGTCATGCATTACATACATCAAATGATGTTTATTGTACACGTGAAGTTATACGTCGATTTCCACTTGCTATTCAACATTTATATACAATGAATGTAACAAGATATTCTAATGCTATTACAACAGTAATATTTTATTATTATTGAATAAAGAAAAACTAAAAAAAAAAAACAATATTTATTTTTCTTTAGGTTCAAACAATTTTTGATTCATTAAAAAATGGATTTAAAGAATATATTAATGAAAATGCAAAATGGATGGTTGATGAAGAAACAAAAAATATTGCTAGAGAAAAAATTGATAAATTAACAGCAGCTATTGGTTATGCAACAATTGCTTCAGATGATGCATCACTTGATAATTATTATGAAAAAGTAAGAATATAATCACTTGTAATTCTTTTTTTGTTTGTTTGTTTGTTTTAATAAATAAAATTTAGTTTTTTGTAAATAATGATTTACATCTTGAAAATGCATATCATTATCATAATTTTCATCGATGGAGTTTATCAAATTCATTACAAAATCCAAATATACTTGATCATTGGGATTATTTTGAAACACGAACAAGTCGACTTTTTGATTATATTGCTCTTTTTAATCGTTTATTTGTTATTGCTAGTGGTATGCATGAACCACTTGTTAATTCAGAATGGCCATGGTAAATTTTTTTTTTTATAACAATCTATTGTCATTTTTCTATTAGGCCTGTAAATATGGGTTCAATTGGTGTTCTACTTGCTCAAAAACTTTTTGCTAGTATAGATGGTCCTGATGGTAAATAATTATAATTATAATTATTAATATATATCTATTTAAATGAATTAAGGTCGAACACATTTACCAAATGGAACACGATATGATTGGTGGCAATCACCAACAATTATTGGTTATAATAATAGTCGTAATTGTATAACTGATTATTATGTACGTGATTTAAAAACATTAACATATAATATTAATGGTGCTGAAATACAAATTCCATTAGCTGGTGAACCATTTTCACCAACAACACTTCGACATATAGGTGCACTTCGTTTTGCATATAATACCTTAATGAAAAGTAATGATATAAAATCATTTAAAATGCCTGGAACAAATTTTACAAGTCAACAAACTTTTTTTCTTGCTTATGCTCAAACACAATGTTATCAACGAGAAGAACTTTTACAATTAATACGAACACAATTAGGTGTTTATGATGAAAGAACAGCATTAAATGCTGCTCTTATTCATATGCCTGAATTTGCTCAAGCATTTCAATGTCAATCAAAAGAGAATCAATGTTTTGATTAGGTTCTTTTTTTTTTTTCTAAAATAAAGTTATTAATAAA